CAAAAAAAAAAAAAAGAACAAACAAACAAAAAAACCCAAAAAAATAAAGAAGAAAGTGAAAGACTTCTACATTGAACACTACAGTATTCTGAAAAAGGAGACTGTAGAGGATATCAGAAAATGGAAAGATATCTCTTGTTCTTGGCTAGTAAGAACCAATACAGTGAAAATGGCCATACTTCCAAGACTGTTCTACAGACCTTGTACAATCCCAATCAAAATTCCAACAATATATCTCACAGAATTAAGAGAAACAATCCTAAAATTCATCTGGAGACAGAAGAGATCTAGAATAGCAAAGGCAATTCTGGGCAACAAAGGCAAGACAGGGGACATCACAATCCCTGATTTGAAATTCTACTATAAAGCTACTGTGATTGAAAACAGCATAGTATTGGCAAAAAAACAGACCTGAAGATCAGTGACACGGATGAGAAGATGCAGAAACAACTCCAGACACACTGAGCCACTTTGTCTTTGACAAAGGCGCCAAACACATTCACTGGAGGAAAGGCAGCCTCTTTGATAAAGGGTGCTGGAAAAACTGGCTCTGCACATGCCAAAGATTAAAACTGGACCCGTATCTTTCACCATGTACTAAACTAAATTCAAAATGGATCAAAGGTCTAAATATTAAGACAGAAACATTAAATCAGCTGGAAGACAGAATAGGTAAAACTCTTTAAAACATTAGTGTAGACAAAGACTTTGTGAATAAAACCCTGATCACACAGGAAGTAACACAAAGAATCAACTGGGATCTCATCTTACTAAAAAGCCTTTTCAGAGCAAAAGAAACCACCAAAAGTGTGAAGAGACAACCCACAATGTGGCAAAAACTGTTTGCCAGCTGTTCCTCAGACAAAGGATTTATTGAGAACATAAAAAAGATATCAACCTCCCAAATTTAAAGACCCAGTCTAAAAATGGGTATCTGAGATGATGCCCACACTTCTCAGATGAAAAAATACTAACAGCAAATACATATATGAAAAAATGTTCTATTTTCTCAATCGTCATTTGAGAGATGCAAATTGAAATAACACTGAAATTCCATCTCTTCTTGGAAAGAATGGCTATTTTCAAGAAATCAGTAACAAATGCTGGAGGGGCTGTGGGGAAAAAGGAACCCTTCTCCATTGTTGCTAGGAGTATAGACTGGTGCAACCACTGTGGAAATCGGTGTGGAGGTTCCTTAGAAAGCTAGGATTAGAGGTCCCACTGGACCCAGCTATTCCCCTTCTGGGTATCTTTCCAGAAGAATTAAAACCATCATACCGCAGCAATATATGTGCACCCATGTTTACAGCAACACAATTTGTAATAGCTAGATCTTGGAAACAACCCAAATGCCCATCCAATGAGGAATGGATAAAAAGATGTGGCCTGTTTATACAATGGAGTACTGCTTAGCCATAAAGAAGGATAAACTGGAAACTTTTATGGGTAAATGTATGCAACTTGAGACCACACTCGTAAGGGAAAGAAACCAGATGCACATGTGTAGACACTGTATTGTCTTCTTACTGTGAAAAGCTAAAACAGCAAGTAAGATCCAAAATGTACAACAGATATTGTAAAATGTGAAGAAACTGTTTAAAAGGAAAGAGAAACTGGGATGGGAGAAAAGAGAAAAGAAGGGGAAAAAAAAATATATAATAACATACACACACAAGATGGTTAAGACAGTTACACTACTAATTTCTCTGAATTCATTGAAAAGAAAGGCTTGTGCTAATATTGTTTGGACAATTAAATGCCTACATCTTATACTTTGAGCGATTAATTAATATGCAATGCATTAACCATTGTTACCCTGCTATTATCTTGTTTTGAAATTTGCGTTTTTTTTTCTCTTTTAAATAAAGAAAATAGAAAACACACACACACAAACACTTTTTTTTTTTTAAAACAAACATTTCTCACTTTCCAGTTTAAGTTGTTTAGGGCCAAAGTATTAAACCATTCATTTTCACTAAAAAGGATAAGCCACCCCCACACAGAATTACATGTTTCAGTGGAGAGACTATAATCAGTGTTTCTAAATTAAAAGAAAATCATTCTCCTAGAAAGAATACTGAGCTTTCAAAAATAGTTCTTCCATTATTATTTTTAAGTTACTTACATTTTTCTTAGGACACTACAAAAATCACTACCTCCTTGTATAGTAGAAACAGTCAATCAGAACTGTCCATGAAATGACCTCAAATGCGGACCAGTGGCCTCCTCTGTTCTTACGCTCCTCTCAGCTAGTTACCCACAGCTGCGCTCTCTGGGCCAGAGCCCAGCAGGACTGTGCGAGCAGCTCAGGGCGGAGGCCTGCTCAGCCCACGCAAGGCAAGGCCCTGGGCGCAGTCCCCAGTACCAAAATAAATCCACAAAGATACAAGTGAATGAAGGAATGCGCCCCCAAAGAGGTGCATCCTCCATCAGGGTGGAGAACTGGAAAATGTGAAGAATCTTATTCACTGAGTTACAAGAGTCCTCAGTATTTCTGTTTCTCAAAAGGTCCTCGGGACATTTACCGATTAATTCAGAAAAATACAGTAAACGAAGAGAACAGAACATCCAAGGGCACACACACGCGGTGCTCTGGAGCAACTGCACTGAGAAGGCTGTGGAGCTTGGACAGGAGTTTCGACTCAAGGACTTTTTGGCAGCAAGAGAGGAAAATGCACTGGGTTTTCCAATTATTTCCTGACCACTCAGATTCATTTGTAGACAGCAAAATTCTTCCCATAGCTAAAGTCAGACTGGAATTTCTTACATGACACAGAGAATGGCGACATGGTGGCCAGTGTCTGTATCCGTGGCTCTACAAGTCCATTTGTCTTTCTTTTATTGAGGTAGAGTCTCACAGTGAGTTCTGGCTGTCCTTGAACGTACTTGTAGCCCAGACTACCCTCACACTGGGGGTGATCCTCCTGCCTCAATCTTGTGAGTTCTGGGATTACAGGTGTGCACCACCGCACCCGGCCGCAGATTTCTGATAAAGAAATGTGATTCAGTTGGTACTTCTGAGAAAGAGTTTATAGATTAACATTAATTATAATTCAATAAATATTTAGTGAGATAATACTTAGCAACACACAATTTAGTCCTTAATACTTTAGCTGTTTTTAGTGTTTTGATTTTTGGTGGTGGGTATCAAACCCAGGGCCTTATGCACGCTAGGTAAGCACTCTACCACTGAGCTACATCCCCAAGTCCCCTGATGGTATTTTTAATAAGGTACTCCATTTACTAATAACTAATTCTTGGCTTTAAGTTTTTGAGTGTCTACTAATCACTTTTTAATTGCATCAGAATTACATATTATCATATGCATTCTTTTGGAAATTGCTCCAAGTATTTAGTAACTTTCAAAAGAATATATGTAAATAAAAATTACTCAAAAACACTTTGCTTTTAATAGGAGTAAAGGGATTTTTTTTTTTTTTGGTTTTGGTTTTTCTCCGGTACCGGGAACTGAACTCAAGACCTTGCGCTTGCCAGGCAGGCGCTTTTGCCACTGAGCTAAATCCCCAGCCCCCGGAGTTTAACTCTGTGGATGCACCCAAGGGGAAGCTAACAGAATTTTCTTTGGCTGGCTTATAGACCCTACAAAAATAGTTCCACTGGCTAAGAGATGGACTTGAACAGACACCTTTCTCTACCTTCCCTATGGGCACAGGTTTAAGACAGACGCTGTAGTTCACATGGCAGAGGAGGATAACAGAGTGAAATGTAGTCAGCGAAACAGATTAACAATAGAGCATTTAATTTGAGAAAAAGGTCTTACCTTTTGTGACAGTGTAGGACTCACTGATTTCGGTGGGAAAGTACAAGGTATCCGTCCATGTTGGACATGATAGGGTAGCAGGAGGCTGGGGTCTAAGGGGACCCAGGGCACTGAGAGACTGGAGGGCACGCCGGGAAGGTCGCAGTGTGCTTTGTGCAGATTGTATGCTGTCCTCGTAACTTTTCCATCTGAGGTCTTGTAGATCAGGAGGGAAGAATCTTCTCCTGCATGAGACAACAGGTAGGACCCCTCCTGCAAGCTAAATCCACACACGGAAACTCAGCTCACTCATTTACTGGGTCAGTTTCAAGGGCACTCTTCCTAATCACTGGCTACTAGTAAACCTAAAACAACTGCAGGAATGGAACACCGCCTCTAAAAACACCTTTACGGACAATACAAGTAAAAACTTAAGATCTCAGAAGTTTTGAAAACTATGTTCGTGCCTTTTAGAGGATATCGAAACATATTCTTTTTTCTATGATGTCAATCTGTAAATTTTCAGTCCTATAATGGAAAAACACACAGATTGCCTGATTCTCTATCTATAAAGAGCAGGTACTTACATGCCTGTAACATTCTTATTCATCCAGCATTGAACCTACTTTGTACCTAATCATAGGTGAATCGATACAAAAGTGAACGTGATCTATTGACTACACCAGGTACTTTTTGCTTTTTTAAAGATAGGGTTTCGCTTTGTAGTTCAGGCTGGCCTTGAACTCGTGGGGATCCTGCTTCAGCCTCCTGAGTGCTTGGATTACAGGTGTGCATCACCATGCCTGGCCTACATGAGTACTTTAAATAAAGTGGCAGAAACAGTCAGTGTAACAATCACAACACAGTCTGAGATATTATGAGGATAAATAATAGCAACAATAGCAGCTAACACTTACTGAATGTTTACCATGAACTAACCACTATAATACTGCTTCAAAGCCATTTTTGCATTAAGTCCACTACAGTAAACTTTCCAGGCATAGTATTAACTATTAACTTCATACTGGAGATAAATAAACAAATTAGGGATGCTAAGTAATTTGCCCAAAATTCTAAGTATAACAGGGCTTAGATGTAAACCTAGGCGGTCAAACTCCACAAGCCACCCCCCAATCATGAGACTCTACTGTCAAAATAATTCGTTATGTCATATATCCAATCAACATTTTTTTCCTTCTTAGAAAGCTTTACGGGATTCAATGTATCACCATAAAGAGCTAAAGGGATATGATTAATACACTATGCTTTCCTGGGATTACACACTTCTCCGGATCAAAGGGGTAAAGGAGAACAGCTCTTTCTCACATTATTAAAAGTAAAAATTAATCACACTTTAGTTATACAGATCTGCCTACAAACCTAGTAATTACATTTTCATTAATTTTTTAAGCCAAAAAAGTAATGGGTGTAATGGACAAAGTAATGGACAAAGGAAGTCCACAGAATTATTATTTTCTGGGGAATTTTTTCCAATCACTTTCACATCAGGAAATGAGTAATACTTGATTTGGTAGTAGGAATAAACAACCTTCCAAAGAGTGAGCTTTTATCAATGAAAAGCACATATCTGAACTACCTTTACTAAAAATGAAGAAAAGCTGTGTTTACGGCTTTTTTTTTTTTTGAGACAGAGTCTTGCTATGCAGTGCAAGCTGGCCTTGAACTCAAGGCAATCCTGCCTCAGCCTCCCCGGTGCTGGAATTACAGGTGTGTACCACCACGCCCAGCTATGGCAGGTCTTGAACTCCTGGTCTGAGGCAATCCTCCCACGTTGGCCTTCTGAGTAGCTGGCAACATAGGCGTGGGATGCTGTACCCAGCTCCTGGTGAACGGATTTAATGGATGGAGAACGAGACACTTACAAAGTATCTTACAAGTGCCATGTAAGTGTGAAGTACAGGAATAAACTGACAGAATAATGGTCTCCTAAAAATGTCTGTCCCAAACCTTAGGACCTGGGAGTACGTTATTTTGTACGACACAGGAGAACTGAGGTAGCAAATGGACTTAGGTGGCCAATCAGTTGACTTTAAAACGGTCAGATTGGGGCTGGGGATGTGGCTCCAGTCTTGCCTTGCATGCACAAGGCCCTGGGTTCAATCCCCAGCACCACATACATTAAAAAAACATAAAAAACCCAGTAATAAAGACATAAATTTAAAATGGTCAGATTTTCCTGGATTACCTGGGCTGGCTTGATACAATGACAAGATTGCTTTAATGTAGAAGAGGGAGGCAGAAAGGATCTGTAGAGGTGTAACTGTCACAGAGCTCCAGGGGTCTCATGTGAGAACTCAACCCGCCTTTTCAACTGAGGCTGAGAGCTGCAAAGGGAGGGATGCTAGTGGCCGCTGGCAGCCGCAGGAGGCAGGACGCCAGCAGCCCTGCAGCCTGGGGAAGAGTGCAGCCACACCCAGGCCCTGACTTCAGTCCTGCGAGACAGAGCTACAGAACTAACTGCAAGCTACCAGATTTGTGCTGCTTCACAACATGCAATTTGTGGTACTTCAGATGAAGGACAGAATATATAAAATAAAAATCCTGCCAAGGAATCTCACAGTTGAAAAGTACTTAGGAAATGATTGCACCTGACACTGTCATCTTACTTATAAATTAGGAAACTGATGTCTACTTACATAAATTAAGTAAAGATTTAGAACTCAAACTCGCAGATTTTAAATTCAGACCTTAGAACTGTTTTCTAGTTTAACTTCCTGTAAGGGAGTAGGACAAGATATACAACTGCTAACGGTGATAAATGATCAGGTGGAGTATTCATATTCTAAACTGTGTCATAAACATGATACCTTTGGGCTACTTGCTCTAGGCTGCTTTTTTGGACTGAAAAATCTCAGTGTAACTACGGTAGGCTGAATGCGGCCAGGCACACGAGATGCTCACATGCCAACAGTCGCATGTGGGTCTCCAGGTCCTATGAGTGGGTCTCCAGGTCCTGTGAATACATCACTTTTACTGGCTTTGCAAAGGTTTTCAGGTCAAGGGTTCTGAGAACCAGTGACGACCCTGGAGAAGCTGGGTGAGGGCTGATGGGATCACAAGGGTCCTAGTCAGAAGCAGGCGGACAGAAACACAATAGGGGAGGGAGGTGGTGCGGATACAGAGATCCGACTGCTGCACCGAGCAGACGGAGGGGGCGGCCCCAAGCCCGGGAAACGCCTGGCCACCAGGAACCGAAAAGACGAGGAACCGAGCTTTTCCTCAGTGCCTCCAGAAGGAACCAGGCCTGATGACTCCTCGACTTCAGCCCGCTGCGTTTCTGAGCTCCGAAACTACAGAGTAACTTGTATTACAGTTACTGCGAGCCAGTACTGCAGGTATTACGTACTGCAAGCCAGTAAGTAATCTGTCAACCGGCAATATAAAGTAATGCAGTAATTTTCTAGGACAATATATTTGCAAGCTCATTAAAACCACGTACTACTGTATATTTTTAGATTTTTACAATTTTAGCTTTGACAAAGTAATTCTTGTCTTTCCAGTTTTTCTCTATCTACCCCTAAGAGCACATTTTCAAAGTTTCTAAGAATGTCAATCTAAGAAAATCAGATCTATTAATGCAAAATGTCCAAAAAATACTTACCTACTTAATTTTTTCAGAATGTGTTGGAGGATGCCAAATAAACTTGAAATCCTATTAAACAGAAGAAATTAATGCAATATTAAACTAAAAAACATTACTCGAACAATTATAGGATCTCAGCAAAAGAAATGCCCTCGTTCACAGAGGAAAACAGCAGAAGCGATAACATATAAGGCTGCACTTCTACTGCACTTCACTGAGAGTGGAGGCAGGCACTGAGGAGGGCACGGAAGAGCTTTTCTGTTCACAGACATAAAGAAAAGTTGCCACCCCAGAGAAGCAATTCTTAGAAATAGAAGGGAACACATCTGAGTACAAGCAGAGAGTAAGTTTGAATCCGGGACTGTTAAATAACTGTCTCAAAACTGGAAATATGCAGCTACTATAAGTTAAGACAATGTCTCACCCTCAGCAATAAAGTAAGCATTTTCACTACCAGGGCTGTTCTGCTCAGCTGTCTGCTCTGGGGCAAGTCACTAAAAGTCTCCGACTCCTCGTATATATTTCACAAGGAGTTGTGAGGCACAAGTGAGATAATGTTTATAAATTATTTCCCCTTGTGTTTGAGAACTTAAGAGTTCTGAGTACAGTAAATTCCTTTAGTTCTGATGCACAAGAAGGCTTAGATAAAACTGTCCAAGTCAGTGCACCCACCCCACGAGCTACGATCTGTGACTGCCCTGGCCGCTCCTTCTCTGCACAGGGCAGAATGTTGGAGCTCAATGCGCTTCAAGGTGGTGGCCGCTCTCTGGCTCCACTCTCCTCGGGTAAAGCAGGAAGACTGGAGGTATTAGCATTGTGCTCTCTGGCTCTACTCTCCTCGGGTAAAGCAGGAAGACTGGAGGTATTAGCATTGTAATCAGTTTGGAGCTGAGGACAATTAATACGGATCGATTCCAACCTGGGTCAGGGGAACCCTGCATGGATGACGTGATCAAATGCACTAGAAGTAAATTACGTAAACTTAACCAATACTTAGATATAAAGGAAAATCAGTGATTAAATTCACAGGTTTTTCCAATTCCCATCACAAAGCAAACTTTCTTACTTGGGTGCTGAAAGCTTTTCTTTTAATTCTTCAGACGTCATTTCTTCTAGCAGGAAAAGCTTTGAAGTAAATGCATCAATATGTCCTAAAATAAAGTATCACACTTAAAAAATGCTGGCAGAGTGTTTAAAACACAAAACAAAACCCCTTCAAGTTATTTAGTCTCCTTAAAGGTTTTTCATAAAACTTTTAATAACTGTAAAGGAATGCTACATTCCAAAAGGAGACATATTAAGTCTTTCAAGCAAAGCTGTATCTTAAAATAACAAATTCAAATCATGAAAGAAATAGGATTCATTCTAAAATATTTTCTGGATGTAGTAAAGTTCACACATGTCCACACCTACAACATAATGTCTAGCCCTACAATTTAAGAATCACAGCTGTTTAGTATTAGTGCTTCCAATTTTTATAAGTGTCCCCTTTTTATGGGGTTATTTTGTTTCTTTTTCTTTTTCTTTTATTGTGGTCCTGGGGATTAAACTCAGGACCCTGCTCATGCTAGGTAAGTGCTCTATACCACTGAGCTACGTACTCTGATTCATGGAGGTTTTTTTTTAGGGCAATATGTGTTCATTATCAAAACAAGTTGTTAAAAGACAAATTTATAGATTAGACATGCTCAATACCTAAGACACATGTGGTTCTTAAAATATATTAGAGGGCCAGGATTTAGCTCGGCGGTGCCTGGCAAGGGTGAGGTCCTGAGTTAAGAATCCCAGTACATCCCTCAAAAATTAGACTATAAATATGGCTTCTCATTTTTAAATGAAGCACACAGTAAGACTTCCCATGCTTAAAGCGTCTGCTTAGGGTCTTGTTTTCCTATAAGCATCATATGAATGTAGAATTTAAAAAAAGAAAACAGCACATTGTCAAAACGATACTTTTATTTTAAAACGTAATGTGTACATTTGAAATGACACAGGCTGAGAAACCAAACACACGGATGTGCCGTGCTGTAACAACGAAGAGTGGTGACAAGACCGTCCTCAGCCCAACGCTCAGCACTAGTCCACCGAGCGAGCCCAAAGCAGGCTCTGTCCTCAGCTCAAAGCACCAGCAGTGGGAGAGGATCTGTCACTCACCATGCTGAAAACAGTACTGGTTTTGGATTCTATTTTAAACTCCTAATATCTGGTTGATAAATTACCTAGAAAGCTGATATCAATCATTTCAGGGGCCAATGAAAATGTACATAATACCTCATTTTCATATGCAGCCCATTTTAATTTCATTTGCTTTATGTGCAATGAATTTAATTAGAAACATTTTTACCAGATGCCTTCTTCTAAGACAACAAACCCATCTGTGCCTACATGCACTTGTTATTTCTTATGCCCAGTTTTAATTTCACCTCTGCAGTGCCAACACTCATTATACAATGACATTTCTAATAACAAAGACGTATTTTAATGGCTTCATAACTATAAAAAGGTATTAAGTACAGTACATTTTTAGATGCTTACTAAATAAGCCTGAGGGGACTATCAGCCCTCACCTTTTAAAAGAAGTTCACTGAAAAAAGCTTATGACAGTACCCAGCAAATATGGTCTGCTGAAAAAATAGTAACACAGAAAATGCCATACTAAGTGCGATGAGAGCCTTCCCTCTGCAAGGAGATTGCAACTCTCACACTGCAGCCATCCAACCTGGGGGTCTCCAAGCGAGTCCCTCTTACTCCTGAGACATTTATCTCAGCCCATGTGGTGGCTGAGTGATGTTTTGGGTAGAAAAACTTCACGGCCACTGCCCTGTATAAGGTGCACAAACGTGATCATATGGGTTGAAACTATGCCAGCACATTCAATAATCAGTGGGAAAATTTACAAGTATTCTACCACCTTTAAATTTGTCAACCCAGGGGCTGGGGATTTAGCTCAGCGGCAAAGCGCCTGCCTGGCAAGCGCAAGGTTGTGAGTTCGGTTCCCAGTACCGGAGAAAAACAAACAAAAAAAATAAAATAAATTTGTCAACCCATTATAAATTTTCCATTAGTTATAAATTTACATGGAAACAAAAACACAGTAAAATATTTCTTTAGTACACCTTGGTATACGCAGCCTTTTGGCTTTGCTTGAATGAAAAGCAACTGTCTTGGGCCACACGTGAAGCAGAATGCGGGTAACTGACAAGGCGTTCTTTTCCCTTCCTTCTTCTTCCCTGTCTCCTCCACTTGCCCGGATCTCACTACGTACGTAGCCCAGGCTGACTTTGAACTTGTGATCCTCCTGTCTCTGCCTCCCGAGCGCTGGCACTGCAGGCATGTGCCACCGTGTCCAGCTCATGTTTTAACATTTTAACTGATTACAAAGTAGCACACACCCAAACTTAAAATGAAAGGAGAATATTTATACATGGGCTCAGTGACAGTAAACGCCGTCTGGTCGGGCACACGCACGCGGAGGCAGGCTGAAACGTCAGGAGCAGTCATCGCCGCACTCTATGAGTGCGAGGAACGGCCGGTGCGCGCTGGGCGCCTCTGCCCGCTGTGTGCGCAGGAGGCAGAGCGAGTTCGCGCGGGGCCCTCCGCTCCACAGCAACCTGCTGTCACCCGTGCGCATGACAGATACTGCTACAGATCACACGATGAGGTTCCAAGTAAAAGGCCGTGTCATTAGCTGCTCAAGGGCACACGCGGCCTGCGGGCTGCACGGGCTGGACATGCTAGTTGTGATTAAAACACGGAAGACATAGAGAATGAGCAGCTGTAAATAAAAACCTTATCGAGAGTATTTGGGGCGGTGGTTTTGCCTTCTTGTACAACTCACGGCAGCAAGCACGCATCTCGTCTCCACCGCAGTGAACTGTCACACTCTTCTAACGCAGATCCGCTCCCAGCATCCCACCCTGCGCACTTCCGTGAAACCCCTCCAGGAGCGCCTTTCACATCAAAGCTACGCTGCCGCCACTTCTCCAGCTTTCAGGTGATGGCTACTGCTCCTCGTCTATGTCAGTGAGGCGGCTTCCCCGTGCTCCTCTGCAGCAGATCTAGTCTCCCGTGCAGGGGCATCAGCAACATTCTCTCTCTCGGTTATTTCTTCTCTAACCCCAAGCAAGTTTGCTTCAGGGTTCATTTCCAGCAGTACTACTCTTTGTTTCTTGGCTTCATTTTAATTTTTGTTGGCCATTTCCCTCTTTTGATGATGTCCTCTATGAAACACCACATGGGTTTATTACCGAAGACAAGGAGGCAACGCAACGGTACCCACGGCTTTCGGAATCTGAACTCGGTAACAGGTGCACAGTGACTGCCAGCCAGACTGTTAACAAGTGGGCCCTGCCGTGCACCCGTCGTGTGTGGCGCGATGAGTGGACTGAAGAGCTCGCGATGAAGGCTTGCTATGTGTGCATTCACTGCTTTTCTTTTGTCTTTTTGAGACAGGGTGTCACCACGTGGTTCAGGGTGGTCTTGAACTCGATTTGTAGCCCAGGCTGGTCTCGAACTCTCAGCAATCCTCTTGTCTCAGCCTCCCGAGTGCTGGGATTACAGGCAAGCACCACCACACCTGGCCTTACTCACTGTTAATGTTCAGTCAAAACTGAAATTTGTGCTTGTAAAACTGCCGAGTGAGGACTACCTGTATGGCACCTATATGGAATTAGTACACAGATTACAAATGAAGGGCAAAGAACTTGTGATGAGACTACTTGGAAATTTTCTAAAAGGAATAAAGTTGATGTTCTTATAGGACAAGAACATAAAAATGTACTGTAGTGAAGGCAAAGAGAGGAACCTCTTATAGCACAGTAAAGCAAATAAAAGTGTTTATTCTACCTGCAAGAGACTATGAACCACAAAAATGCTTCTCAGACATGACCCCTGGATGAGCAGCATCAGCACCACATGAGGATGCTGGCACGCGAAGTCCACCGGAGGACACGCAGAAACACAAAGCCCTGCACCCTAATCCAGGTCTACTGGGTCAGTGCTTGCAATATACACCAACATGCCCTGCAGTGACTTTCTTACTGTCATGTTAAAAACAAAACAAAACAGGACTACAGATGCTTTTTAAAACAGTGCTTAAAAATAAATTCCAAGTGTCCTATAGCTTCTACCATGCACAAGAGCCTGGGTTCAATCCGTAGCACCAAACCAAAGCAATCAAGAGCAAAACAAACTACTCCCAAATGTACACATACACATAAAAATGAAAAACCCCCAAAGCCACAGCTAAACAACAATGTATAACACATGTTTCTCGCCCAACAGTGCATCCAAACCCAAGTATCTTGAGGGGGATTAACAGCAATGTGTTGTTTACTGTAATAGTTTTCAAATTTAAACACTGTCTATTTTGATCACACCCCATAAGTGGTTCATAAATGGGTTGGAATTACTGAGGATAACCAGCACGCAGGGCAATGACTACTCAGAACTCTTGAGATTTTTTATGAAAGTGTGAAGGCTCTGGGTTCAATTCCCGGGCCCCTAGACCCTGAAAAAGTATTTACGAAGTAACCCATACAGCTGATGGCGGTTTTATCTGTTAAACTGTGCATTAAAAAATGAACACCCATGACCTGTCAGTACTTTCAGAGGAGCTCCCGATGAGTTTCCCTTTGGTCCTTTCCCAAAGTATGTAGGGCTGGTAACTGCTCTCCAGCAGCTCACAGGAAGACTTGGGAGGACAACGAAATTCCAGTTACCGATCAAAACCTACTGCAGCACTGAGTAAAAGAGGAGGCGGGGGGGTGACTGTACCACCAGGAAGCACGTTTGGCCACTCCCTTTCTGGGGTAGGCAGACAGAGCCAACTATCTTATTAACCCGCTCATAAAATGTGAAAACAGAATAAGGATTAACCCAAAATGGGAGTGGAATTTCAAGTGAATAACATTTTTTGGACCAGGCAAGACAAATACGCAGTACTTATTAATACTAGGCATTATGTACACAATATAAAATACAAAAGAGTATTGTACTATTGTTGAATGAAAAAAAGGGGACGCCTAGAAAAAGGAACAATAAAGTAGAAAGTAACAAGTGACGAAAGAAGAAAAAGACAATGCACTGAGAGATCAAAGGACGAAGAAGACTCCATGGAGTGGCAGCAGAGGCAGGTGAGACGTCCATAATCAGACCTCCCAGAGGGAGGGGACAATGTGAATATGATTAGGAAGTCATCTAAATAACGAGGTACAGTAACTACATAGACCCAGCCCACACCCATTGAACCCTTGCCTGATTCTTTCCCCTCTAAAACATCAAAATAAAAACCAAACAAAATGCCATTTCTTCAAGATAATATTTAAGATTTTTAAGGCATTGTTGCAATTTTAACAAAATTTCAAAACATATGCATAAATCAATTAAGTAGTAAATTTAGTAACAGTACTTTTAAAAGAAGCTTGTTAAAAACCACATCTGTGTGTTTTTTTTTTTTGGTTTTTCTCCGGTACCGGGAACCGAACTCACGACCTTGTGCTTGCCAGGCAGGTGCTTTCGCCGCTGAGCTAAATCCCCAGCCCCCACATCTGTGTTCTTAATTATACTGTTAAATAAAGTATTTTTAAAATAAAAGATTATGTTAACACTTCTATACAGCTTAACAGTAATGGAATAAGAGTAAACAAATGAAACATCTGATACCACTAACTCTATTTTACCATTTAATCCTCACGTAGAATGGGGTTTATTAGAAAGTTAACACAATCAAAACTGAAAAAGTACAGAATGGAAGTATTTACAATTGCATTTAAATGCATGTATTTACAAGGGAATTAAAAAGGAGAACAAAGGCTGCTGTTTGACTTACCAACATAAAATGAGCAGTTAGAATGCAATAAACTTTCAGTCCACAAGCGACAAAGTTCACTGTCAGTCAAAGCTTCAACTCCGTAACAAGCTTGATACTCCACTTTTGGTAGTACATAAACCGGAAATTGCTGCGATGCAAGATTAGACTTTTTCAAAGCTCCATTAATTTACTACTAATAGCAAATACATTTGCCTACATAACTCTGCAGCTTTCAAAATGCTTTCAGGTAATCTTATTTCATCCCTTCACAGACAGTAGGTTTCAGACAGAAAGAATGACACACTCAACCCTGATGGACACAAGAACCTGGGCACATTCACACAAGAAGTGGAGGAATAAAGGAGCTCCCTCAGCACCACCTGTCCTCAAAACAGATCAACGTACCTCTCCACATACACATGTGCTCTATTTCTATCAAGAAACGCGACTGACGCGGATTCCTGGGAACAGACTATCATACAGGACTGCCCAAAAGTTCAAAGCTAGATGCTGGAAAGCAAAGATTATAACGTACACTAATAATTCTCAAGAAGATAAAAACAGTAAGAATCTTTTGCCTCCTTTAAGCATGAGTCACCTGTCTCAGGCTCAAATACTCTGACCAGCTGGTTTTCATTCTATGAATGAATGAGCATTAATAACCTCATTAACATCTGTGGACATCACTGTTTCTATTAATATAAAAAGCTTTCTTCCAAACATTTAGTAGAACCTGTCAAATTATTCATTTGGTCTTTACTGGCCTGGACATTAGAGTAAGAAAAATGCCCATTACTAGTCTAAAGGAGAATAAGTAAAAAAAAAAAATATGTATTTATGCAATAATGTTAGTTAGATTCACTGCGCTCATGTTATCCCGTATCTGTCAAAGAAAATTCTATTCTACTCTTTTTTGTGCAGTGGATGGAACCCGGGGCCCTATGCGTGTTGGGCAAACGCTCTACCACTGACGACATCCCTGGCACAGAAATTCTACTCTTAACAGGACAATCCGTTTTCTGCGGCAGAACAACACACACGATTTAAGGTGCTTACTCAGAGTGACTTGGCTACTTAGCACATCAAAAGCCACACTAAGATGCTGACATTTACAGAGAGATTTGAAAATATTCCATCAGTGTTTCTGAACTCCTGATTTTCATGAAGTGTCAGCTTTGGCTCAATGATGGCTAAGAACAAGTCAAAAGGAGTAAAATTTGTTATCAACATGTGAAAAAGCGCAGTTCGGACTGGACTGTCAGACCCTGAGGCAGGGTCTCCTAAGTGTCACTGCGTGGACCGCCTTGCTCTCCGGGGGAGCTGCGGAGTGGGCGGGGCCACGTCCGGCAGTGTAAGAGCCGCTGCTTCAGGCGCTAGGCGTGGAGCAGCAAGACCACTACGGGGCCTTCCTAACTTAAAAGGCTGGAGACTGTGATTAGGCTAACTTCACATCAAACATCACTTCACTGTGATCTTCCAGAAAATGGTAGTATGTGCAGGACTTAGTGGCATAACTGTAAGCAGGAGGAGCTAAGGAACTGACGGACTAGAGTGTGAAGACATTTGTTCCTAGGATATTTACTGTAGAATTGGAAAAAAATTGATAAAACAAACTCCTTCCTGGATCATGAAAGCATAATGAGTTAAACCTCACTTTTAACTTAAAATGTATACTGTTTCTGGAAAGTATACATTCAAAAAAGTAAGTACTTTTGGAGATTTCCTTTGATAATACTATAAAACAACTCTATATCTAGGTTTAATTTCTGTATGGATTCTACTGCCACCTCCAGGAAGCCTTGGGAAATAAAGCCCTGAATATTTTATCTTTCCTCAGTATTGCACAACTGAAGTGAAAATTTACAATTCTTTCCTTTAGTAGTGGGGATTTCGCCTTCACTAGCTCAGAGTGAAGGCTAAACGCCCAGCCCTTAAAAAAGAAATTTTTTTTTGAGACAAGGTCTTACTAATTCACTAAGTTGCCCAAGCTGAGCTGGAGCTTGTCATTCTCCTGCCTCAGCCTCCCAGAGTGTAGCAATTACAGGTATGCACCATCACAACCAGGGAAGGTTTTTACACTATAAAAATTAAATTCAGTATTTCACTTTCCTCCTGATACACAGTCCCTATTCTATTCTCTTCAAGTAAAAACTTTCCTTGATTTTGTCTTCCAATTTTCCACATAAACTTCTTAAAACTCTACATCTCTTCCTAAGTGCACACTTCATAGTCATCTTATCAATTCCATTAAATAGCACTTTCTGCTCTTCCTGACACTTAGCACCTTCAGAATCCTTTTCCCTGACCCTACAGTGCCAAGATAAATGTTAAACGACTGCATCTAAATTTCAGAACGTAGCACTTAGAATAGGTGGTTGCTGTGACAGTGACAAATATGCAATAATAAGAAGTTGTCTGGATTTCATAATCACGCATAGATTCCAGGATTTCAGCACACTCCAGCTTTATCTTGTGGTCCCAGTTAGCCTCTCCACTTTCGTTCCATCACTTGAAACTGGCGGCTGTTTTAATTCTCTGAGCTGTAGCTCTTAGTAAGCAGTTTTGATGAGGATGTGGAAGTGAGGGTGGGAACTCAAACCTCCACTCGGGAGGCTGAGGCAGCAGAACTGCTGCAAGGCCAGCCTGGGCTACAAAGTGAGTGTGAGGCCAGCTGAACTGCACAGCGAGACCCTGTCTCCAAAATAAATAAATAAGTAAAAAAAAAAAAATTTGTGGAAGTCTGTAACCTAGGATACTCAAGAACATCCCTGCGCTTTGTCCTCCCAAGTGCTGGGACCGCAGGTGTGAACACAGCAGGCACTCCTGGATATCTTAAAGCTGTATTTAAGCTAGTTTTTAGGGAGGAAACATTTTTAGTGAGGATGCACCGTTATCTAATTAAACTAAGCACCTTCACCTCTCCAAAGTTCCTTGACAACGCCCCTCCCGTCCCCTACCAAGTGCTCCGTCCTTCGCACTGACTCAGATCTTTCTGAGTTTCTGGGTATAAACATTTGAGAGAAGCAGAGGAACAGTGCATGACTCCAAGGGGCGTACAGTCCACTACAGACTGATGCTACGTGTACCAAGCCACTGGCAGCTGCAGTAGGAGAAGCATTCACTGAAAACTTCTAAATTTTCCTTTGGGTTTGATACCATCAGAAACATGGGACTTCTATGTAGATATTCTTTTGGGCTTCACTGTTCTGACATACTGTAATGAAAAATAAATATTCTCCTGTAAGAGTATGTCTTGACATTTTACAAATTGCACTTTATTTATTTTTCTGAGACAGGACTTTGCTATGTAGTTCAGGTTGGTCTTGAACTCACTACATAGCCAAGGTTGGCTTTGAACTCACAATGATCCTCCCGCCTCAGCCTCCTGAGTGATGGGATTATAGATGTGTGCCGTCACACCCGGCTAACAAATCTCCACTTTAATCAAGTGAATGACAAGGTCCTTATCAAATTATCTTGCTCAAAATTAAATCAGTATCCAAATCAAAACAGATCAAAGAGCTAAAGTTAAAGCAGGAGCACAACAGTGGCTGTTATATTGCATACTGTTGTCTTCAAATTAGTTGTTCAGATCACCAGACAGAAGTAGGCAAAATTGGTCCAAAAATTTAGGCATGAACTGTTCCTTTCAATAACCCAAAAGACATCTTACATCTGGTAATGTGAGCAACTTCATTGAAGATAACAGTATGTAATAAAACAAGCATTGCTACTTCCTATCATCTTGTTTTGAAATCCTGTGTCGTTTTTATCGTTTTTGTGTTGTTCTGTTTTTGTCTTTGTTATTTTGTTAATTCTTTTTCTTTAAAACACGAAAAACAGAATCACAATCTGCTAGAAGATAAAACAGGTAAATTTTTTTGAACAAGACAAAGGTATAGCCAAAAGCTTTCTGATTAGAACCCCAATGACACAAGGAATAGTACCAAGAATCAATGAATGAGATCACAGCAAATTAAAAAGTTCCTGCACAGCAAGGGAAACAATGAGCAGGGTGAAGAAACACCCCACAGAGGAGGAGTTAAGATGACAGAGGACTAATATGTAGAATACATAAAGATCGCAAAGAAATCAGATTCCCAAAGTAAAGCACACTTGAGGAACAGCCTACTGAAATGAAGAAACACTTCTCAGAAGAACAGACGACCAATAATTACCTGAAAAAATGTTCAACATCTCAATTAGAGTAATGCAATTAAAACAACACCGAGAGTCCATCTTACTTCAGAAAAAACAGCTATCATTGAGAAATCAAATAATAACAAATGCTGGTAAGGTCGTGGGAAAAAGAAATCCTTCTACATTGTTGGTAAAAATGTAAACTAGTACAACCACTTTGGAAATCAGTATAGAGATTCCTCAAAAAACTGAAACTACAAATCCCGTTTGACCCAGATATTCCCTTCCTAGGTGTCCTCCTGGAAGAGTTAAAAATATCATATGACAGGGATACATGCATACTCATGTTTATAGCAGCACAACTGGTAATCAAATCTTGAAAGTGGTCTACGTGTCTATCAACAGATAGCTGAGTGGATAAAAAATGTGGTATTTATGTACAACAGAGCACTGCTCTGTCATGAAGAAGATAAACTTGAGTCATTTGTAGGGAAATGGACGTACCTGGAGACCAGAATGCTAAGTGAAGTAAGTCAGACACACAAAAACAGGTAAATTTAATTAAGTTTACCTGAAAATGTACCACCAAAATTAAATCAGTACCCAAAATTTACCTGAGCTGTTCTTACTCAAGAAACATTGGCCATAAACAGTAGTTTCGAAGAACTTCAGCTGTGATGGCGAACCTTTTAGAGCTTTCAATGATACAAACAGCCCACTGCGGCATGAGTGCCATAGGTTCGCCGCCAAAGAACCAGGGGCTGAAAAGAAAACTACAAAGTGACCTGGGTTCACATGGTAAGAAATAAAAAAATGAGGTCACTGGGTGTGGTGTACCCGTAATCCCAGCACTCGGGAGGCCAAGGCAAGAAAATTGCTGTGAGTTTGAGAACAGCCTGAATGGCATAGCAAGACCCTGCCTCAAAAAGAGAGAAAAAAAAGTCAAAGAAAGAAAGGTAAACTCCAACAAATGAAACAGCAACAACTACAGAAATAAAACCTTACAAATACAATCTACACTGATCGTCAGGTCTGTTTTGTGCGGTACCACGCTGACTTTATCACAGAGCTTTGCAGCGTAATTTTAAGTCAGGGTCTGTGATGCCTGCGCCGCCTTTCCCAACCAGAGACCACACTCGTAAGTGAGATAAACAGGACCCACGTGCGAACCTCGTACTGTCTCCCCACTGTAAGAACCTGAAAGCATAAATAAAACTCAAAACGTACAACAGGTAATATGAAAGGGAAAGAAATTGCTCAAAGGAAGGAACAACTGGGATGAGGGCAAGAAGAAAAAAAGAAAGAACTAAGGCAAAATATGTACATGCATACGTGTATGTATATAGAAGGGCAGCTGGGATAACTGTACTGCTGATGTCTGGTGGTTTACTGAAAGGAACAGTTGGCCGGGTGTGGTGGCGCACACCTGTAATCCCAGCATTCAGCAGGCTGAGGCAGGAGGATCGCTGTGAGCTCCAGACCAGCCTGGGCTACAGAGTGAGCTCAAGGCCAGCCTGAAATGCACAGCAAGACCCTGTCTCAAAAAGACCAAAAAACAACGAACAAAAAAAGAAAGGAATAGCTAATGTTTAAAAATTTTTTTTATATTTTGACCAATTTTTCATGCTTATATCTGGTAATCTGAGCAACTGATATGAAGACAACAATATACAATATAACAACCATTGGTGAATTCCTACCATGTTGTCTAGTGAAACTCTATATTGTCTCTGTGTTTTAAAATTATTATTTTCTCATTCTCTTCAATGGTTTAATCAATCTTCCATTCTTACATCTGGTAATCTGAGCAACTTTGTTGAAGATAACAATATGTAATATAACAACCAGTATTAATTCCTATCATTTGGTTTGAAACCCTGTATCATTTTTAATATTCTTGCTTTGTTTTGTTTGTGTTTTGCTATTGTTCTTTTTACTATTCTCTTTAAAATAAGAAAAAATCATAAAAAAAATTAAAGAAAAACACAATCTACGCTCTTGATACTACATGTACTCAAAATGCTCACACCTCAGGTTATTAAGTGTATCACAGTTAGGTACAGACAGTCAGGAAAAAATAACAAAGTAAAATTTAACATGGAGAATGTTAGCATTTACCAACAGGAGACGAGTATCACTTGCCCAGCACGCAAGAGGCCCTCGGGCCGATCCCCAGTACTGCCTAAATAAATAAGAGCACTCCCCTATACATTTAATTCAAAACCATTTGGAATCTAGAATTTCAAGTTTGAATGAATGATGAAAATAAATTCTGAGAACTAGGATTTTAGTAATTAAAAATTAGGTTTTAGTCAGTATTCCTTCTACTTAACGAAGGATAAAAATATTAGCAACAAAAACCTCCAGCAAGCCCCCTGGAGCCCGTGGCCACGGCACACACCCTGGGCGTGGATGGCCAGGCTCAGGGTTCTCACCACGGCTGCTTCCTCATGCTGCCCTAAAGAGCAATGTGCTAAGGGTAGCATTTCTTTCCCTTCTGTTTGCAGTTGTTCTTTTTTTGGTCTTTTTGAGACAAGGTCTCACTATGTAGCTCAGGCTGGCCTTGAACTTGAAGTGATCCTCCTGCCTCAGCCTCCCAAGTGCTGGGATTACAGGCATACGCTACCACGCCAGGCTTCAGTTATTCTTTTTTTTTTTTTTTTTTTTGGTTTTTCTCCGGTACCAGGAACCGAACTCACGACCTTGCGCTTGCCAGGCAGGCGCTTTGCCACTGAGCTAAATCCCCAGCCCTTCAGTTATTCTTTAACAGGACACAGCAGTAAGGGTGTTTGCTATCAGGGTTAGTGCTGGGCTGCACTACCCTTGATTCATTTGATGTGTATCCCAAAACATTACAAACTAGTCAGTGATGATTCTTTTAGGGCAGGGGTTTTAGATATGCACGAAAACTTTAAAAAAAAAAAAAAAGTGCACTATGACAAATGCACACAATAAAAAGTTTCCTTAAGAAACAAGTACAGATATTTCAATGCTCCTTACAAAATCACTTATTATACTGAAATTTTACTGTATCAGAATTGAGTAGTTATAGACAAAAATGTAAACTCTGAAAGAAAACTCTAAACATAAAGTATAATATGGAAAACTGCTAAAAGAAGCAGTGACTCAAATTGTAGCAATTTCTGTTAAGCTGAGGAAAATGTTTATATCAAACCCCACATGAAACAGAGTTAAAAGATCTGATCTCTAACAATCCTCTAAAGACTCTGACGCATATAAAAGCCCATCTTTCAAAGCTTGCACTTGTAAAGGAAGTCAAGAGCAGCCTCAGTGAGCAGGAGGAGCTCATGTGTCACAGTGGAATTCCAAGTTCCATGGCGAACAAGGTTATGTGGTCAGTCTGGGTCCTGTCTACCATGGTGCCATCTTCCGTAAAGTGTATACAGTGCAGGAGAGGACATTAACAGCATTTAAGACACACATAGTTAAACAGCTTCTCTTATTCAAATTGATCTCAGTATTTTACTAAAAATATTTGACCTGGAAATACTATGAGGGACCAACAAGTTAAAATTAAACTTCCTGGTAGTAGAATGCGACACACACCCTGGTTATCCACTTAGCCACCATATCTTAACGCCCCAAGTAAGGACTTACTCTTCGGATTTTCTTCCGTTTCTTAGAACGTGGTCTTGTCTCGATCCTCTGGACACTGCAACGCACGAGTAGCAGCAGCTCTTGCAGGCTGAACAACTTATAAACAAAATTCCCCTCTTTCGGAGCTAGATATTCTGATGTATCTTCAACATAGTCCTGAAGTTCGTATGGCAAGCCTTTAAAAATAATTTCTCATTTTTACTTTGAAATGCAGTCTTTTCCATCATAATACGGGATAAAACGATTCAATTAACCATTTTTTTAAATGTCTAGCAACTGTAACCTTCTCCTTCTTCTACCTACTTTCTAGTGCTCATATTACCACCATTCCTGTTTATTTTACTGGGACTGCAGGGAAGATGTGAAATAAAAACTTTAAGGTTCTCTTCCTTTTAGCTATTACCTTCCTTAACTCTAGGCAGAGTGTAAATTAGTGAGACTTTATATCACGTGAAAAGAAAAAGGTGTTTAAAGAGAAATTGTATTCCCAGTCTAGGCAGATTTGAAAAGTACAAAGGCAGTCCAACGAGCACAGCAAGTAACTTCTGGAATAATCAGTGTTCATCATCCTGACAGTGGACTTCCTCTTCATTACTTTGGGAAACTCACTACATCTCTTGTAGCTCAACAGCCACTGTACGTGCTGGATAAACACAAGTTACAAACAAATCTTTGGGTTTATAGGCAGGATATTCTGGAAGGTGAAACACTGGTCATTAGAATATGAAATGTTAAAGACTAGGTAATGATGATAAACAGGTTACAACAAAGGACAAAGGAGAAAAAGCTAAAAAAAAAAAAAAGGAATAGGTAGAAACAGTGGAAGTTCTCCGTAAGTACTTACGTCCTTTTGGCTTCTGAAATGCAGACGGCCACCCAGACTTTGGCCAGCTCGTGGTGTGCAAAGGAGCAGAAGACTGCTCGGAAACAGGTGGCTGTTTAGCATTTTCCAAATTCATTAAGAGCAATTCAGGTTCTTTTCTGCAAATCGGCTTTAAGAGTTCCGTCTGCATTTTTAAAATTTGTCCAACTGGATCAAATTTTGTATATACTCGTTTGATTGGTTTTTTTAAAACACACAGCTCTTCCGGATTATGAGTAGTAGTCTGGTTTCCTACAGAACCCTTTCCTGAGGAAGAATTTGGACTTGCTGGTGTGGAACTCAAATTAGAACCCAGAACAGCTGCTTTTTCCTCACTATTATTTTTACACTCTATGTCAATGATTAAACAGTCCTCGTCCGTATCACCGCTGCAAGGAATGACTTCTTCAGTTCCAGCTGTTTCTGACGAAGCAGGCTTTTCCTTCGAGTTGTCTCTGTCCTCTACGATACACAGTCTTTCGTCATCGGCACATTCCACATCTGAAGCCATATCATTTTCCTCAGAGCTTTGAAGTTCCTTAGACCTTTCCCACGGGAAGGCATCAGACGTCTTCAGGTCACTGTCTGGCATCACAGACTTGCTGGAACTGGACACCTTTTCGCCACACGGTCCGAGTCCCTGGTCATCCTTATTTCCGCACTCTTCGAGGCCACTTTCCATACTGATGACCAACTGTTTCTCCTTCTGCAACTGCTCCATCAGAATCCGAGACAAACTTCTAGAACTCGCAGAGGTTTCTGCTATAGTTGGTGCCACAGGGGCAGCAGCTGCTTTGGGGGCTGGGAGTGTATCTGTCACGACGGGTACCGAGCAAGTACTTGCTGGACCAGGTGATGTGGGTGGTTCGGTAGCGGTTACTCCAAAGGTTTCAAGCTCTGTGACATCATCATCAAAATCCAGATCCAAATTTTCTAGAGTCTCAATTTTTCGGTACTCATTAACTTCAATGGATGTCTTGGAAGAAAACATATTGGTAAACAGTCAAAATTTAAGGTCATACCTCACCCTCTAACGCCCCCCTCTCCTTCACACACATACTTCGTGTTTGTAAAAGTAGAAAGAAAAGTGTAACAGCTCTGAAGGTTTTTGCTTAAGATGACAACAAACTACCAGCAACCACTTAGCCTCACTTTCTTATTGAAATGTTCATGAAAACACGTAATTTCCAAGTCGTAACAGCAGAACCAACAGTAAACTGTGAACTACCACATCCCAAGAGGAATTCACACTAGTCAAAGACACAGGACTACCAGGAAGAAATGTAGGCACACCCAGGAAGGCAGCAGGGTTCCACTTATGCCCACTCTGTGTGCTCTCCCTGAGACACGTGGTTTTAGTCAACGGGGAAAGGAAGCCTCTTCGCTGCTGTGAGGAAGCTGCTTTCCACTGCAGCCACAGAAAATGTCTTCAAGCGTGACTTTCTGTCCTTGTCCACTCAGGGAAGACAAACCCGCCTGACATCAGACGGCAGACACTGGTGGGCCCTGCTGCACTGGATACTGAACAGCACACCACTGTCTTCTGCGACATACAATTTGGTAACGGAAAAGCTGCGCACAGCTAAACTTTATTTAGGAACAGGAGGTACGGTTGGAAACGACGATGAACGTTTACATGAAGAATTTGTTACGGTGGAAGTATTAATCCTCCACGAAATACTCCCCCGTGCTTCAAACACACTGCTCCTCTGTTCCTGTCACCGTCAAAGGCAGCTCTAAAGGCCTCTTTCTCAGTGTCTTTAGCTGTGCTGTCCTGGCGGCCTCAGTGTCCCGAGTCAGTTCACAATGTTTCCCTTTCCGGTCATTTTGACTCTGGGGACGAGCCAGGAAGCCACACCGTGCCACACGTGGTGACTAAGGGCACGAGGACGCGCCGCAGTGCTTGCGTAACCTCGCCTCGCCTCGGATGGCACCCAGCAGCACCGCTCACTGCATTTCTGGTCACAGCCTGCAGAGACACTCATGAAAGAGCACTTCCAGAACTGCTCTGGACAGTGGCAGTATTAGTGGGGCAAGTGTGTCTGAAGCGAGGAGGAGTATTCTGAGAGGGATTAACAGCAATGTGTCTGTTACTGCAATAAATTCTAATTTAAACACACATAGTATGTTTTGATCATCCCTTCTATTACCTATTTTGTCTGATTTGTGGCCTTTGCAAATCGAAGGAGGACTTGGGTATGAGATTTTAAATTTATCTGAACTAGTCTTTTACATATGAAATTTTACATAATTTCCACAAGCAAGGTTCTGTTTTGATTAGACAGACAGAAAGTGTTCATCTTTATCAGATGTGGTGTGATGTTCTGGTACATTTTTATATATGATGTACTGATCAACTAAGGATACACGGCTCATCTATCACCTCAGACACTCAGCAGGTCTTTCTGAGGGGGCCTACTGCAACTCTTCTCTTCTGGTTATTCTGAATTATGGAATACAACGTTGTATTATTATACACATATAACAATATGTGTAACAGAATAACACTAGGACTCCTACCAGGCTGACTTTGTACCAATCTGTCCCTGGCCCTCCTCAATCTCTGGTAGCCTGTATTCTGTTTTCCACTTCTAGGAGCTCAGCTTTTTCAGACTCTACATAGAAGTAAAAGCATGCAACACTGGTCATTCTGTGTCTGGCTTCCGTTACTTAACACGTGATCTCCAGGTTCATCCATGCAGCTGCGAGGGACACAGCGCCTCCTCTGTGGAGGCTGAACAGTATGCCAAGGTGTGTACACACAGTGTTTCACGCACTTACCCATTCGAGGACATGCAAGCGGGAGCCTATGTCTTGGCTGCTGTGAGCACGGCTGCGGGGAACAGAGAATGCCTGTCCTTCTTTAACACAGTTCTCATTTCCTCTGAACACAGACCCAGAAATGGGACTGGATCGTATGGTAGCTCTATTTTTAACTTTCTTGCGGAGCTCACACCCCGTTTTCTGGAGTGGCTGCACTAATCCACGTTTCCCCGAGGGCACACACTTAGCATTCTCTACATCCTCACCATGTTGGTCGTTTCTTATCTTTTCGATTACAAGCATTCTAAGGAGAAATGCTCTCTCCTTGTGGTTTTAAGTGACACACAAAAACACAGAAATTGTACATACGAATGGCGAGCCACGTAATGTTTCAATACATGTACAAGCAGAAGACTATTTTTTAGCTACTAAGTTTAGAGATTTGCAATAAAATTTTACATTTCTAAATGAAAAGCAAGTACATTCATCTAAAGAAAAAGGAAAACAACACTACATACGTCCATCTCCGACGTGTACTCCTCCGGTCTGTCCATAAACACTGCGGAAACCGGAACAGATGTGTTCTTGGACATCATACATTTTAATGGGATCTCATGGAAGATCTGATTTCTGTATCTCACTGTCATTTTCTTCTGAGGAAGTGGGGAATTAATATAAATTACTTTAAATGGTTTGGAACCTTAAAATAGAAACAGAAAACGGGTGGTTAGTATCCAGTTGTTGTATTTCTTAGAAAACACGGATATATGACAGAAAGATCACGATGCAAAGGGACACAGGGCCAGGGAAAAGGAACATCTGCCTCACGTGTCTGCCACTCTCGGTCCAGAAGATTTTAAAGTCCCTTAAAATCTTTCAAAGTCAATTCTGTAGCAGTTTTATTTTTGAAAAAGTTCTGAGTTTAAATGTTAACTTTTACCTTCTACTAAGGACAAGAGAACTAAACTGGTAACAGAACAGTTTTGTCACAATGTTTAGAAGTTATTTTTTTTTTTTTTGGTTTTTTTGAGACAGAGTCTTGCTTTGCTGTGCAGGCTAGCTCGAACTTGAAGTGATCCTCCGGCCTCGGCCTCCTCTGAGTGCTACGATTATAGGTGTGGCCCACACCCGGATTTTGGTCTTCACTGCTCAATCTTACTGCCATTCTTACTCAGTTTACAGGAACTTATAAGAAGTGGTGACATTTTTGCCAGAGAATATGTTACATTTAACACTATACTCTATTTCAGTAGACATAGCCTCCTGTGTATTTATTTATGTTGTTATACTTAATATTAATTCTGAAAGACAGGTTAGTATAGATGAATATTACCTCTGACTTACAACAACACACAAGTCCTGGAACTGAACCATTTGAAGTTGTCTAATAAACTACAACACTCCTTCATTTCAGGGAAAGACAGAAGCACCTCAGCATTTCAGATACTTCTGGCCTAAGTCGTAATCACCTTTCTCTCACTTATAACTGGACCAAAGGTACTGTAGACCTAATACTTCACTTAGGAGTGTCAATTCTTTCTTTTTTTAGTACAGGAATTGAACTCACGGCCTCACGCTTGCCAGGCAGGTGCCGTGCTGCTGAGCTATATCCCGGCCCCCGCGAGTGTCAACTTTGTAGCAGCTTTATGTCTGCAAAATTTGTTTTTGTTTTGTGTGTGTGTTCTGAGATGGCCTCACTGTGTAGCCCTGGCTGGCCTTCAGCTCATGGCGATCCTCCTACCTCAGCCTGCCAAGACTAGGACTATAGGCGTGAGCCACCCTGTCTGGTTAAATCTGCCTTCTCCTTAAACCAAGACTTAAGATTTTGTATTTGACAGAGACCAGCTATATTTAGACAGCTGACACAGTTTTAATGCTTTTTGGGGGGAGCGGGTACTGGGGATTGAACCTATGGCTTTCACACTACACCCCTCACCGCCCTCCTCAACCCTTATTTATTTATTTATTTTGAGACAGTTGTCTTGCTAAATTGCCAAGGTATGTGCTCAAATTTGTGATTCTCCTGCCTCAGCTTCCTGCAGTGCTGGGATTATAGGCCTGAGCCACCACGCCCACATCCAACACCCTTTTTAAGAGCATTATTTGACACAGTAAATCACAAACCTGCCACAGGTATAACTTGAACGCAGACTGGAATTTCCCACTGCTCCTTGTAGCTTGGTCCATGATTGTTTAACAAGGTGAATAACGACTGGCTTGTCAGAGCTATCTGAGGATGATATCTTGAAACAAGCTTCTCTGCGTTTGGATCTTTACTGATATCCTGAAAAACAATGTGTACTTGTACCTTCATTACAGCCACTGAAAATCTGATAATGTAATGAAGAAAAGGGAGAAAGGGGACTTCATGAAGCGGACTTTGGAATCACCAGGTTATATTTTTGTGAGGTACAGACTATTGAGCAAGACCCAAACCACCATGCTACTTACGTAGTGCATAGCTTCAGCTATTTGCTCTGGGCTTTCGACGGGAGGCACACTACTTTTTGAGAGCTTCACGACCACCGGCATCGAGGGGAACACTGTCTTCACAAACTTTACATTGCCCTATGGAAACAAAGAATGACCGTTACAGTAAAAACCCCGACATTTTTCTTCTAAAGAAAACCTTTCATCACAGGAACTCATATTCTACTAAATATAAATGTTAAATTTAGAACCTTCCTTAAGCCTAGATGCTCATTCATGTTTTTGCTTGATTATACTCATTTTTTGGTTTTGTTTTTTTTAAAAGGTCGAGCAGGGTTTCATGGAAAATCTCCTGTCCCTTTAAATTCCATCTTCTCTTTTTACAAAGCATAAAGCTCAGCAGGGAATATCGGCACACCTAAAATATTCCCTCCCTCCACTTATCCCAGTACGTCTGTGACTACACTTTCTTTACAGAAAGACGGCTTCTTTCTTTCCACTCAGAAGCACTAGGGAAGATGGGAAGACAATCAAGAAATACAGGTAGTAGTGTTGTTTTTAGAAGGTCAAGTATTTATATTCATAAAATGAAAGGACTGGGACATAGATTGGTGCTATGTACTCAAAGTCATCTCAGTACTGCTCAGAAATTTAAACATAAAATAGTATCTACGTGAAATACAGACGAAACTTCAGACCAACAAGCGCACACTTTCATGTAATAAACTTTACCAGAGCAAGAAGGGTTTTCTCTAGTTTTAATCCTGTCTCTATTCTGCACGGGAGGAACCCCATTAAGCTGGTGACTTCATGGAGCGTATAAAGTTCTGGATACTTCTTTACTTGTTCAACGCAAGCTCTTAAAATTTTCTAGAAAATAAAAATTAAGGAAAGTCGCATTTGTATTGTATTTCTTTAATAATGCAACAAAAACATTTTAGTTACACACGAGACTATGTAATTATTCACTGCAAAAGTTAACTGCTGCATTAATCAAGTGTCTAACAATGCAGGCATACTGTATATTCTTTATTTGATTTAATCTTTTATTTTTTGTAACAAATTTTTAACCTAATTTCCTAAAATACTGATATTTAGTAATACTAAAATTAGCAATCTTATTAAGTTTTAAAATAAATACAGAAGACATATTTGCTTTGCTATTTAAGAAACTGTCAAAGAAACAAAGCCACATTAAAATTTCAATGAATGCACTGCAGTAAAAGCAATTACATGAATGATTACAAATAAGTAAGTTCAATACTCTAAAATGATTCCCAAGTACAATGAATTAATGAAGCAGTTATCTTACAGGTTATTCTCATCTGCAATCTACAAAATAAATGAGGAGGTTATAACTAGCTCAGATGATGGAGGACTTAGTATTTCCTTCTCTCCAGTTTTCCAAATATTAATGCCTTATCAGGAAATGTAATCAGGAAGGAAGGAATACCCACAGCTACCAAACAGGAATATACATCACCGTGAGAACATGTAAATAACTCAGAGAGGCACAGGCACTGGTGAGGGAATACGTTTATAATTAAACACACCCATACATCATCTTCTAAGATACACATTTTTTCTTCCGTCAGTTAATGTTATCTTAACCTCTTACAATGTATTTCAAATCAGGAAAGTTTTTAGCAATAAGCACATCTTAGTAATGTACAGATGTCTTTTCCCTTTCAGTTTCACATCCCTCATTCCACTTTTCTAATGCCCCCTGCTATCTTTAACATTTTCTCCCTCCATCCACGTTTTTCAGTGCTAATCTTGATATTTAATTCAGGATTTTACTAACAACTACTGTTGACATGGGCTAACATGGAAGACTCGCATTTCAAAACCTCAGCTGGAAGCCTATCTGCACAGCGTCTTTGCTCCTCCCTTGTAAGACCAGCTAGATTTCCTGCCTTATGTTCTCTCATCCGGCAGTCACTACAGGAATCTGAACGCAGAGAAAAGCGATACAAAGCAACTATGTGGCACTAAGAGCATTCTGGGTAAGTACGTCCTGGCACACTGTTCTTGGTAAAACTGCTGATGCTGCGGTGCCTTGAACAGAATTCCTCTTCCTAGGGTATGGCAAGAGAAAGAGTCAGAGGGACACCAGACAGGTTTACCCTCGTACACATCATCTACGGGACAGCAGTCCTCTTCCGCTGTGGTTTTACTTTCTACAGTTTCCGTTACCTGCTGTCAACCAAGGTCTGAAACTATTAAACGGGAAATTCCGGAAATAAGCAGTTCGTAAGTTTTACTTTCTGTACTGAGAGTGCGACCGAAGTCTCATGCTGCATCCTGCTCAGAATGGAAGTCACCCTTTGTCCGGTATGTTCCCAGCAGCCAGCTCGGGTACCAGACCGACGGCCACGCCACTGCAGTCGCTGTGCTCAAGCACAGCAGGACGGTCAGCCGCCGCCGAGAAAGCGACCACACAGCCTGCGTCGGTCGCCTGGGTCCGCTCACTGCACAGCGGGCCACCTTCCGTTATCACCAGCAGGGTGAAGACAGTCAGAGGACCCTTTGGAGGGACGCCACACTCACACAACTTTGTTACAACTGTTCTTTTTTACTGATTATTGTTGTTAAACTCTTACTGTGCCTAATTTACAAATTAAACATTACCATACACACGCATGTACAGGAAAAGCAGAGCCTACGTAGGGTCTGTAACTCTGTGCATCTTCAGGCACCCACGGAGTCTCAGACTGCATCCTCTGGGGCTGGAAGGGGACTGCTCTATGTAGGTGAATCATTAACACCATCCACACACGTGACTATACTAAAGTACACAATTTTGAGATGTTAGTATTTCTATTTCAGTACAAGAAGAATAAAAGGCCTACATGTAACTTGTGCTCCAGGTTGATAATATGGACAGTTCCCCAGACTTTTGGCAGGATCATGACACATTTTAGAAGCTGCTATTGTCTAACACTTGGCAGTTTTCACAAATGTCATTTTACCTCTGTGAGAAGATGAGCATCGTAAGACAGCATATTATAATCTTGTGCACATTTCTTTGCAGAATTTTGTAAAAATTTTAGGAATTCGGCAACTTCTTCATTTACATGTTTTTTCATATCCTGATTTTTAAAAAAGCAGACATGTCTCGGAATAAAGCATTTCATTAGAAAACAATCACTTCTCAACTACTGCTCTAATAGTTTGAACTTAATAATTAAAGTAACAAAGCCAAAGCAAAACTACAAGGCAAATGAAGATTATTATAGTAGCAATCTAAGAATAAACATGTCATCAGAAACTCTAAGGCCTAGGACTGTAGCTTAGTGGTACAGCATGAACTTAGCATGTATGAGGCCCTGGGTGCCATCCCCAGCACAAAAAACCAAAATGACAAAAAAACTTTAAAAAATTCTATAAAAATAGAAAAGCAAACTACTGGTACCAAAATATACAATTAGGAATTAACAGACATTTTATTAAAAAAAAAGTAGAAAAATAAGCAAACAATATGTGTAGGTAAGATACAAAAGAAATAAAAGTAGCTTACAGTCACGGGAAATGCTTATTTTAATTAGCAATCACTGTAAGTAATGCTAAAATAAGATCAGTTTTCCTCAGGTCTGACTAGAGGCAAAAAAAGGTACTGTCTGGTATTAATGAAGGTAGATTTAAAGGAAACTTTCATACAATTGGGATACAAAGAAAGTGGCTTAAACTTTGTAAAGAAAAATTTACTCATGTGTAACTATAGCTCAAAGCTTTAACAATACGCAATCTTTAGTCCGGAAATTTTATTTTTAAGAATTTATCTTAAGCAAATAATAACAGATATGAAGATTTTGCTAAAAGAATGTTCAGCACTGCATTTATGTAACTGAATATTAATTAAAGGTGTAATTAAGCAAGGACTTAATAGTCTCAATAAGCTACACAAAGTTGTATCGTTAGTACATGAGATGAACTGGAGACACATGACGGCAATGAGACGTCTTACTTTCTCAGTTTTGTATATATGCCACTCAGACACTAAAAGGAAACTGAGACTGTTTCCTGATTTTTAGTGTTTTTACTGAAGCTAAAGAACAGAATACATACCAAGTACTGTAGGTACTCATTTTTATTTATTGCAACAGCTTTGGAATTTGCAGGAATCTTTGCGTACTTAACCAACAAGTCCACATACCGCCTCTGCTCTCTCTGTGAGAAACGAGAGAAACGAGGATAAGGCACTCTTGGTTTTGGAAGAAGAACCATTCCAACTCTGGTTTTAACATTTTCCTTTGCTTGAGCTGCTGAACTAACTGCCGGCTCATTTTCTATAGAACTTGCTGAGGCATTCAAATTTCCCCCTATATGGCTGGAAAAAAAAATACAATTTACAAATACGTGCTTTTCACATGAAGATTACGATCACGGCGCTTCACGATTCCCAATCACAGGTGAGAATACAGCGTGATTAACTGAGTAAATTCCGGGTTATTATCCCCCTCTGCCACCTGCATTTCGATGTCTAGCCATTTCGTGCAGATTAAGTGTTCTGCAGGAAAGGACCACACTGCACTCACCTTCAACTACCTGATGGAGAGGAAGAGGCACACGTGCTGTTCTACTTATTCAAACTGGAAGGTTTTCCCCCTTTACTGAAGAGGGGAAAATCTTTCTTCCCAACTATGTTCATGTTTACATTTTATTACAATGGTATTTGTTTTTCAATGCCTAAATTTTTCAAGAAGGGTATCACATAATATGCAAAACAAAAGCTATAAAGAACAGGAAAAGAACAGTCACAAACTTGAAGTTAATGAATTCATAGATGTCAAATTTTCTTGTCTCTCTTCATCTCAAGAATTAAGAAGCAAATTCCAATTGTGTGCCATATTTTCTGGAAGCAGCAGTACTCTTGGAAACGCTGTACAACCCCCTTAGTTATACACATGGCTAAGTCCATGAGAATGTCCCTATGCTTTTTACGGGTGCAAAAGGAAAGTCCTGGTGTATCTATAATGAAACACAGTAGGAGAAAGTAGTGAACAGCTAGAGAACTTGTTTCCGGATTTCTTTAGGAAATGCTACCTTCAATTTTCAAAAATGACTTTACTGCCTCCATGAAGGTATTTGACCACAGATGTCTTATCTTGGTTATAATCTCTTCATTTTTGCTAGTCAGTCACTGTTTTCTACATTTTCAATAAGGATTT